CGCGGGCAGCAGGATTTGCTGTGTGGCCATCAGGAAAATCAGCAGATCAACCATTTCCTTGCGCGGCATAGCGCTGTCGCCGCCGAAATGCGCGTGGAAACCAACAAGGTCAACTACCATTGTCAGCTGCTCGGCAGCGTGGTCCATCTGCGCGTACTCGTCGTGCTCCTCGACGCCGCGCTTGACACGCCGGCCCCAGCCGCCGGCATCGGCAGTAGCCTGCATGAACGGGAACACAAAGTTGAAGCCGGCCGCAGGCAGCGGCGCCAGCTCACAGCTCACGCGCAGTCGGAAATACACGCGCGTGGCCAGGTCCTCGACCGACTCCTGCAGCCAGCCCTGCGGCACCACGCGCTCGAACCCGCGCGTGCGCAACAGACCCATCGCCAGAGGCAACCGCAGCGACTCCTGCAGCCCGTCAGCGCACGTGCTCAGCGCAACAACCGTCTGCCGCACCTCGTCGCCGGCAAGCTGCTCGGTGCTGCGCCCGCCGCCAAGGATCGCGCGCTCGACCACGACTCGCACAAGCTCTAGCATGCAAGCGCCGCCCACCGCCGCGCTTCCCTCAACCACGGCACGTGCAAGCGCCAACCCACGACTCAGCCCGCAGCGCGTGTGCTCGACACGTGCGCGCACTGCAGCCTCTGCCTGGCGCTGGCGGTCGACCAGCTCCTGCTCCTCGCGTGTCAGTTTGCGCGCCTCGTTCTTCTTGCGCGCAAGCTCCTGGCGCAGCTGCTCGGCCCACACGTCGTCGGCCGTCTTGCCACGCACGTTCTTGGCTGGCTGCGCGCTTTCCTTGGCCGCCACCGGGTCGGCATATAGCTGATCAGCTGGCGTGCGCCAGACCGCAAGGTCCTCAGTTGACACGTGCTTCAGTGCCTCAGGGCCGATGTCGCTGTGCGCAAACTCCAGCACGCGTCTGGCTACGGCCTCGCCGCCGATAAACACCAGATCGCGCACCAGCGCCAGCGCAGCCGCGTAGCCCTCGGCGTCGGCGCCGTCATCCATGGATGTGCGCACGATCTGAAGCAGCTCGGGCAGCTGGTCGGAGCACAGGTCGCCGGGATCGACGCCCACACGCTGCGTCAGCGCAATCCACAGGCTGCCCTGGCGTGCATCGGTTGCCGCTGCTGCTGGATAGTGCGTGGCCAGGCTCATGCCGACCAGAAGCTGCTCCTTGTCGCTGCACTCGCCGCTGGCCACTGCGACCAGCACATCGTTCCAGCTGGCTCTGCCCAAAGGCTGCTTGCGCGCAGCAAGGCAGCCGACAAAAGTAGACTCTACAAGCTTCCACAGCCGTAGCGCGTCGGGCGCCGCCATCGCCCGCAGCGTCAGCAGCGCATCAGCGGCGGTCTGACGCCGCGGCTCAGGCACGTCGCACACGACCCACGCCAGCAACTGCGCAAGCCGCGAGTCATTGCATCCGCGCGCGTACAGCGACTGAGCCGCGCGCAGCAGCCACAGGCTCTCGCGCTCGCCCGTGCACCGGTGGAACACCTTGTCCCACAGAAGAAGCGACTTTTCGGCCCCGGCCACCGCCGCCACAAGCTTGTCACCGACCGCATCATCCACGGACGAACGCCGCAAAGCCAGCGCAAGCCCCACGTGCGCGTCCAGCGTGCCACCAGCCACGGCCAGCGGGTTGCCCGACGCCTTTTGTGCCGTCGCTGCCAGCGCTGCCACCAGCGGTGCCACGTGCTCCGCCGCCCACGCATGCCCGTCGACGGCTGCGTCCACGCGCCACAGCGGCTCGCCCACTGCGTCGGCTGCCCACGCAAGCCGCAGAGCTGCCGAGCGGTCAGGCAATGCAAGTCCCTTCAGCGCAGCTTCGCTGAACGCCTTGACTGCATCCAGACACGCTGCCTTGTCAGAGCTGCCGCATTCGGCGCTGCACAGATGCTCCAGCAAAACCTGGAACTGCTTGCCGAGCGCCGAGAACAGCGCCACCACAGGCTGCTCCACGGTCTCCTTGCCCGTCATTTTCAGCAACGCTGGCACGATGGCCGCTGCCGACGCCCATCCGTTGCCCGGCCCAGCCCGCACGTTGCCCAGAAGCCCGTACATCTCCGTGCGCTGCTCAGGCTGCGTGTAGCGCCCGGCCGTGAGCGGCTTGGTCGCAATATCGGCTGCCTTCGTTGCCGCCTCTGCTGTGGCCGGCGTGTTGGCCAAAAACGCAAAGATCTGCGCCGCCGTCTGCCGTACATCGGCGTTTGAGCTCTTTATCAGATTCGACACCAGCGTATCGGCAAACATGTCCAGGTAGATCGCCGCCAGATCAACCTTCTGCGCATCCAGCGCCTGCAGCATCCACAGACACGTCGGAAGCACCACCTCGGGCGACCGCAGAAGCATCTTGGAAATGGAAGCCTTGAACAACTTTTCAAAATCACCGCCCACGTATTTGCGCAAAAATTCACCCATGTCGGTTACGCTCGAGTACGAAACCGGAGTTTTTGACCCAATAAGCACCTTGTCGATAAACGAAACAATAGCGTCTTTGGACTGGTCCACCGCTGCTGTTGCCGCTACGCATTGACCAGTTGGCAGACGCACAACTGTGCTGACAATGTTGCCCAGCAGCACCGCTGCAAACTCGCTGCTGCCTACCTCGCCCAGCAACACGCTCAGCATCGGGCTGATCATCGATGGACACTCACGCAACACGCGCCATACGCCATGATGCGCGCTGCTAGAAAGCGACCGATGCTTCGAGCTCCTAACCTTTGGCTGCGCCGGCACTGCACCCCACAGCAGACGAGCCGCCAGCACCACCAGCCGCTTCCACGCCGCGTCAGTTTTCAGAGTCTCCGGGTCCACTTCCAGCTTTTCAACCGGCACCGGCAACGCCACCAAGATCCACGAGAGCAGAACAACACGTTTGGCCACCACCGACGGGATCAAATCTGGACGACTGACCGCCTTGGGCTGCGCGCTCTCGACCACAGGGTCCAAGACGCCGGCAATGGCCTTGACAAACACCGGTGCCTTCTTCGTAGCCAGCTCCTTAAGCACCTTCAACACAAGTTCACGCGATGCCTTGTCCACATACAAGTCCGCTGTTGGCTTCAAAGCCAATATTATCTGCACCAGGTCTTTATCCTCTATCGGGTGTGCTGCGATCGCTGGCAAAAGCTTGCCTTCGATCTCGCTGCGTCTTTCTTTGATCCCTGGCGATGCTATTTTAAGCTCCTCTAGAAACCCTTTCCATACGAAACCGCCGTCCTTGCTTTCGGTTTCAACGCTCATTGCAACTAAAAAAATGGATTTACCCTCTTCTAATCTACTTTACTGTTTCGTATTATTCGCAGTATGAAAAACAAAATCGTTTTACTCTGTTGTTATTGTATGTTTTTTCTTTGTTGGATTCAGACGATGATTTATACTCTAAGCTAACTAAACCACTGCGACTTTTACCTCTTAATGAATAAAAAATGCTCCCGTCAGATAAATAAAAAAAGATTACTTGTGGCAAAAGAAAAATGAATGAGAAAAAAGCAATGGATATAAAGGAGAAATGAGAAAATTTTACTTTATATAAAAAAAGTGCTTTTTTCCTCTCACATTAATTTTTTTCTTTTTGCTTCTGCGGTGGCCGCAGGCATTCGGAAAAAATCAAAAATGAGGGGGCTAATCTCATCCCTGCACAAACCGCTGCTTCTCGATGTGTTCAAACCTTGCCAAAAACATGCTGACGCATCTGACCCGGACCTGAAACACCAAAGGCATTTTCCAGGAAACCGTCTTTACCGTCTTCATCGTCGTCCGCTGCAAAATACTTGGCGACAATCTCCCTTAGCTTCTCTTCGCCAATGTTCATGTGTTTGCCAGGAAGCGTTACAAAGTCAAGACGGTTGCTCTCATCGAGACTGCGCAGTCCAATCCAGTCCTCAATATACATCAACGAATCATACAACCGTGTCTCGTTTCCATATGAATCAACAAACCCAAACCACGCCGACGAAGCCGGATAAATCATTTCATCTTGTTCAAACTTTATCAGCACCAGTTTCTCCAACTCGCGCAACCGGTCCTTATAAACCACATCTCTCTTGTCTGCAATTTCGTTATTGACATATGGCAAAAACACGTTGCGCTCCAAATACTGCTCAATATTGTCTGGATCCTTGAAATACTGTGCCTGGATAACGTGGTCCCGGACATACCACGAATACACGTTACGCAATGCCAGCTGCCGCATAAACTGGCAAATCCTGTCACTGTCTTTTGCACACTCGGGTATCCTGGCCACCCCCGAATGAGGCGACCCAAACGTCACAAGTTTCTTGACACTTATTAAAGGGCACCGCTGGACCAGTGCACGCAAAAACAACCCGCCTTGCGAAAAACCAAGCATGTTGACCGCTTTGTCCTTCAGTTCTTCCACCTCGGAAAGTTCCTTGCATACCTGGTCAATTTGCGTGTTTAGGTTGCCGAAAAACCCTGCTTTGCGGTCGTCGCTGTCGCTGGATCCAACCTTGACTGAATGTATATATACCCCGGGCATTTCCTTCTGGATAATACGCGCTATTTCGCCCATCGTTGAGTTGTCGCAGCAGTTGTCGCCCATACCATGCCACATAACTATCGGTGAAGCAGCTTCTCCCAGGGCGAAAGCCAGAGAAAACGCCAAGGCTGCTGTTCTTAAGACCTGAAATATGTGCATTTCTGAAGCCAGAAAATAAAAGTTGAAACGAAATAAAGCAAGTGGAAAAAAGAAAGAAAGAAAGAAAGAAACTTGCGACATCAATTGCGCTGTTGCCCTCCCCTCCCTTTGGTTTGCTTTGCAAACATACCATTGCAAGCTGTCACACGCACATAAGATGTTTCTGCACTCGCCTGCTCAAGCTGACAGGAAGCGATTCAATCTGGATGCATTGCATTCTCTGAAAGGCAAAACGCATACAAAAAGCAGTAAATAAACATTCAAAAATACAACCGAAAACAGCAAATGTTAGCTTTATTTGAAATTTTAATTTGGCTTGAAAAAGTATTATAATGGTGGGGATTTGGCGCAGTGGTAGTCGCGTATGCTTTGCATGCATAAGGTCGGGGGATCGAGACCCCCAATCTCCACTTTTTTTTGCTTTCTTAATTGACAGTCTTGATTTTTTGATGAATTTTTCGGGCTTGGATCTAAAATGCCATTTTTAAACGAAAACATCGTTTTTGGCTTTTGAACACGTCTGTTGTTCCTTGCGACACCTTTTTTATTTCTTGTTAAATTTCAGCAGCGTAATTACTCGTTCGTTCTTGGCTTTATGGTTTTATAAGCGCTTTTATTTATTTCGTTGGTTCAAAATGCACAGTGGTTCGCGTATTTCCGATGCTCAAAGACGGAATCATGCTTCAAATCAAGGCGCAAATCCGTCAAACATATTTCGAAGCGCGTACCTGGAGCGCCTGAAGGAAGGAGACACGGCTATGCTGGTACTGTCCGCCTTAGGGGGAACCGGCGGGGGTGGAGGAGGCGGGAGCGGGCTTGACGGTCCGAGTATGGCTGGGTTTGGTGGCAGCGGCAGCGTGAACACAAGGACGCGTTCTACGCGTGGAAGCCGTCGGAATCTGCGTGAATGGAGCTCGGGGTCGGAGGACGAGTTTGGCATGGACGACGAAGTGGACTCGCCGTTTGATACCGAGGTCAGCTCGGCCAAGCAGGCGAGTGTTGGCGATGACGAGGAGAACGGGCGTAGCCAGGATCTGATGAGTGGCATTGGTCCTCAGCCCGCATACGAGGCGCTGCCGAAGCGAGCACGTCGGCGTACCGCGCACTGGCATTTGCGGGATGATCAGGCGGCGTGGCTTGCGCAGCAAGAGGAGTCGCTGGTTCCTATTCGGCTTGAGCTGGAGGTGGGCGACTACCGTCTGCACGACGTGTTTGTGTGGAATGCGCGCGAGCAAGCTCTTACACCGGAGCATTTTGCTGCCATCTACTGCGCCGACCTGTCGCTTCCTTCGGACGCTCGCAGCGGTGCGGTGGAATACGTAGCGCAGCTTATCCGCCAACAGGTCGCAGAGCACGTATCGGCGGCGGATTGCGACTTTAGCGGCGACGAGCTGCGGGTAAACTTGAACATCGAGGTACAGGTGGGTGCGCATGTGCTGCGCGATCGTATTGAGTGGGATATTCTTGAACCGCTTGGGTCGCGTCCAGAGGAATATGCACGGTGTCTGTGCAAGGAGCTGGGTCTGGGCGGCGAGTACGCGCCGCTTGTCGCGCATCGCGTGCGCGAAGAAGTTGCACGGCTGCACAAGGAGCTTGCAGAGGCTGGAGACGCACACTGGCTTAAGCAGGCTCCGGTTGATTCGATTTTTCGGCCAATTAACATGGCCGAGGCATGGGGGCCTAGCATCGAGATCATGTCGGCAGAGGACTTGGACCGTATGTGGATGCACAAGGAGCGCACATACAGGCGTACGCGGCGTTCGGAACGTGCCCATACGCGCACGTTTAACTTTTTGCCACCAGAGACTATTTCGTACGATACGGCCATTGCCGGGCTGGGCTCGACGTCGACGATGCCGCCTATCAACCCGGCGTTCTACACCCAGGTGTCGTCCGAATCGATAGATGTAGTGAGCAGTGGCGCAACTACGCCCAGGCAGCTGAAGCGGTCGCAGTCCGGAGCACGGGCGCAGGGAACGCCCACAAGACCGTCGACGCCACGCACATACACAAAGACGGATATGAGCAGCTGGGAGTGCCAGCATTGTGGCTGCGACAGCACTGTTACGCCTATCCAGCGACAGGGCCCCAATGGGCCAAAGACGTTGTGCAATGCGTGCGGAATCGCATGGATGGTTCGGAACCGACAAGAGCTGCCTAGCCACAGAAAGGATATGTTCCGCAAATAATAGCAGCTATTCGGCCGTTATCTTGCAGTCAGTCTTTTGCTTTGTCTTTGCCTTTCTCTCATTTCATTTCCCGTCCCTGCTCTTTCTTTCGCTTTCCGCCTTGTTTTTTTTTATTTTTATTCTGTTTTCATTGAAGCATGTCATTTTATTTCTACAAAAAGAACAACATCAATTCTAGTGACACACGGTTGTTGATATATGAGCAATGTGCCACCAAAATAAAACAGAGTACGATTGTCTAAAGTTATTACGTGTGGCTGGAGAAGTGGTGGAAATGGAACAGCTGTCATAGTAAACCAAGAATGACACCAATGTTTTGCATCATTCTTTGGCTTGACTACAAGCAGGAACTAGATAAAAAAATTTTGTTAATTGTTCCGGCTATTTTGCTTTCTTCTGGTCAAATAAAACCTACCTGTCTTGTATTGTAATCCAAGCATCCTGACATTGCAGGCTAGCGTAGGAAATCAACGACCAATAACCTCTTTTTTTGCACAAGTGGCATTTCAGCAAGCATGAAACGGCCACCTTGTCGTAAAGGAAAGAGAGGGAAAAGGCAAGAAACTTTGCCAGACGCTCGATTTAACCGGGCCAATAAGATAGCAAAAAGATAAAGAGGGAACAATGCCCTACCCAAGCAATTTCTGATTTTTTTGTGCTTTAGGTAAAGGTATAGAGTAACAAGCAATGAGGGACCAGCGCACTTAAATTTTACACTTCTTTGCGATCATGTATATGTTAATTCAGTGAGCTTTTGTATCTTGAAAGCAACAAATTGGCCGAAAAATAGGGATGCGGGTGGCATAAATTGGCACAGAGAGTCTTTGTCAGCCCCTTTCACTAACCCAGATTCAACATGCATTCCACTGTGTCATTTTAGCCAGCCGAACACGCATGCTGCTCTATATAGAATTATTTTTTCTTTTTGATCTTTCCCCAATATAATTTGAAAGCCAACAAAAAAAATCCGCTGTTCTGGCAGGGGATAATGTGCCTTGTTTAAAATGACATTAACATTTTTGAAAAAGTGTGTAAATGCAAACTACTGATGATTTGAGAATAAGCATGATATTGTTGCTTTTTCTGAACATATTTCGAGGCAGGAGGCGGAATCGCCCTGGGCAACATATCTTAGCGTTACGATACAATGACTCAAGGCGGCCTGGATACCAGCCAATCTGATCTTTGCGTCGACGGGTGAGAAGGGAGGGGAGAAAAAAAAACAAGTTTTTGGAGGAAGTGTTCTTGTACGCATGCGTCCACGACGCAATGCAGCTCAAGAACTTGGTATAAAACTGGATTTGTACCAATAGAAACAAGTTATTCAAGCAGGAGGCTGCTGACGCCTAAAATCCACAACAATAATAATAGTGCAATTAGAAACAATGCCTTATTCTGCTCATGCTTATGTGTCTCCTACACACACCACGCATTGCCAAAATTAAAAAACCTATGATTCCCTTCTGCTAGAGCTGGCATAGCGTGCGAGTTGCTGGGCTGGCTTTTCTTTGTGGCAAGAACTGTGCCCCCAAAAATGTGTTTATGCGCTGTCATCGCTTATTCGACCCGCCGCAGCTGCCTTCGCACCACCTTCCAGCTGCATGTGCGTCGGCATTAAATCAATTACAGAAAAAAAAAAGAACGCATCGCCGAAACACTGCTGCCTTTCCCCCTTCCTTCCCTTCTTTACAATGTTAACACACGACCCTTGTTGCTCTCCTTGTTGCTTTTCTTTTTTTACTTTATTCGCTTTGCCTTCTTTTTTTCACCAGCTTGTTCTCAGAACATAAAATTATATTACTGTTTCCTTTCTTCAATACGCTCGTTAACGCCAGCGCTTGTTTCTTATTACTCGGGCCCTGTACATTGTTCAGCGAAATAAATAGATAGTCGGTATGTAGTTTTTTATAGAGTTAACAGTAGTTGGTATTGCACATCCTTTCCCCGTTATTCGCTTTTTTTAGAGTTGCTTTTGCAAGGACGTGTATCAAACCAAAAGCCTGTACAACGCAGCCTTGTTATTCTGGTTTTTGTTGTGGTCGGTTTTGAGGCTTTATAAGACAACAGATATAACAAACCTTGTTTAAATGAAGAAGCGTAGCTTCAATAGCGCGTTTCTGAACAACAGAATCAAAATAAAACAAGGTAGGCTTCTCTATTCTTTTTTGTGTCACAAAGCTCTACGCCTGCCCTTGCTTCTTTTCCAAACAGGCGCCACCCAATGCCATTTCAGGTGTGTATTTTTTGTGTGTGTGTGTGTGTGCCTCACTACAAAAAGTTTGTGTTTTTATTTTGCATGGGTTTCATTGCCCAAAGTGTCTTTATTGCAGGCTGCGTTAAATTGGCCGGTTTGATGCTGCAAATCAGCTCTGTGCATTGTTCAGATAATTATCGCTGAGACACAATATTTCCAAATACAAAATAAAGTTGGGCTAAATGTCAGATGCCAGATTTTTTGTTTGCCATCGATAACCTCTCACATTTAAAACACCTTGTCGATTATCCTTTCTGTTTCCAATTCCTGTATGCTCGGTTCCGAAAAACTTTTTACCGTTTTTTGTTGCTCTTCTTTTTTCACTCCAGATCTTTTCTTTTTCTAGATAAAAAAGAGTATATATTTTTAAGAGGTAAAAGCTACGTCCACTAGATCGATGTCTAAATTGGTTTCGGCCCATTTCTTTAATTATTTCCGATCGACAGGTCATGCTTTATTTATTGCCTGTGGAATGAACTGCTTAAAACATGACCGATTGCCCTGCAAACTTCCTTAAACGTTCGGTGATTGCTGATGAACGATCGTAAATTCTCATGCTTGTTCTCGAGTCTCTTCATTTATACTTTTCAAAAACGCAAAAGAAATGTTTTTCTTGGAAACATTACCCCCAAAAGATGTGCCGAATTTTGTTGTCTCTTGTTAACACTAAAAAACCTGCAACTAATGGTAAACAGCCACTCCATACACCAAACTTTCGGCGACTTTTTTCATCAAAAAATTTTAATGTGTACTTTTTCTGCATCTGTGTTTGTGAAGAAAGAGAATGACAGGGAGAAATGCAGCAAAAGCCGAGAGAGATATATTTTTAGCTCTTTGCCTATTTACTTTCCACTCTTTCCCTCAAATGTTCGAGGCATTTAAAGAAAAATGTGCTTCCCGTTTAAGCATTCCATATATTTATAGAAAAATCATCCTTTTTTGCTGTTTTGGGAATGTCTTGTCGGAA